GGAGGGGGTGAGAGAGGAGGAGGGGGGAGTGGAGGGAAAATTGCGAGAGGAGGGGGGAGGGGGGGAGAGAGGTTGGGAGGAGGGGGTGCGAGAGGTGGGGGGAGGGGAGGGGAAAGTTCGAGAAGAGGAGGGGGAGGGGGTGTGAGAGGAGGAGGGGGGGAGGGGATGCGAGAAGAGAAGGGGGGAGGTGGTGCGAGAGGATGGAGGTGGGGAGGGGGGGGGTGAGAGGAGGAGGGGGAGGGGAGGGGAAAGTGTGAGAAGAGGAGGGGGAAGGATGAGGGGGTGAGAAGAGGAGGGAGAAGGGGAGGGAAAATTGCGAGAGGAGGGGGGAGGGGGTGAGAGAGAAGGGGGGAGGGGAGAGGAGGAGATTGTAAGTATTGGTGATCCTACTCTACTTTTACTACTTCTAATTTACTGCTGCTGCTAACGTTATTGCTGCTACTGTCACTTCTACCACAAATATTAATACTACTACTTTGCTACTGCTGTAATAGTAAAGCAATAGTATTAGTAGTAGCTGCTACTACTACTACTGCTGTTGCTACTACTACTTCCGATACTACTACTACTATTACTACTACTGCTACTATTGCTACTACTTCTACTATTACTACTACTATTATTACTATTACTACTATTAACCCTACTACTCTGATAACTATCCCCCCAGGACCTTTGATTTTCCTACAAAGTGAGGTGTACTTGTATGCGACTTCCGATTGTTCTGGAACAAGCAAGCACGTTTGAAGGCGTGGAAGTGGAAAGTATTAGAAGTGAGGGCACAGGGAAAGAAGAAGTAAAAATGGCTTCATTCCTCTCCCTTGGATAGGGAACAGATGCTCTTAAAAACTAAATAGATAAAAAAAAAGATTAAAGGAGCCAGGAAAAAGCCTAAGATTTCATAAACGAAATGTAGAGATAGTCACCGTTTGGGTTTTTGCAAGATTTTTTTTTATGCGAGAAGTATTCCTGGTTAAAAAGTGTTCATGCACGAAGAAGCGTTTCTGCGCGAGGAAGCGTTCATGCAAAAAGATATGTTCCAGCTAGAAGTGTTCCAAGAAAAGTGTTCTAGCAAAGAGTTTTCGTACAAGAAATGCCTCTGCAAAAATTGTTCCTATCAAAGAGAGAGAAAAGAGAGAAAAAAAAAGTTATCCTGTAATGAGTATTCTTGCAAGGAAAAGTGTTTCGACAAGAAGCATCCCTACGAAAACGGTGTACCTCAAGAAGAAAAAAAAGAAGAAAAAAAAAAAAATCTTCCAGCAAGAAGCATCCCCACAAGGAATAAACCCCAGCAAGGAGAAGAAATGTTCCTCCAGAAAGTGTACCTGTCTCCATCACCCTGTCTTCTCCACCGCCAGCAGAAGCCAGCATCCCACATACCCCAGACGAGCGCACGTCCCTTTAATCTCCCGCTGATGTCGCCAACCCGTAATTTGCAGCGAAGTGTGTGTCGTCACATTTACGAAGAGGTATTTCATCCAGTTCAGGGTCCGAGGCTCCATTAACTGCAATCCTCTCCTTCTCTCTTCGAAACACAGCGAAAGAGGTGGTCGGGATGATCGTGGTAAGAGTACAAACACGGCTGGAAATTTTGTTAGTATTGTTGATGATAGTGTTGGTAGCATCAATAACTGTGTTATTGTTATTAAACATTTTCCTTTTAAAGGCGATAGAGATAATGCAGGTAATTGTAGATATTGTAGTATTATCAAGATAATAGTAATTTTCCATTTTTGTATCATTAGTCACATAATCATTATTGTAATATCCATTAGTATCATTATTATTATTATCATCATCGCTTTTGTTAGTAGTATTATTGTGATTATCACTGTCACTGTTAATATCATTGCCATTATTGTTATTATATCACCGTTAGCATTGCCATTGTGTGTGTGTGTGTGTGTGTGTGCGTGCGTGTGTGTGTGTGAGAGAGAGAAAGAGACACACACTTATGTGTGTGTGTGTGCTTGCGTGTGTGTGTGTGTGTGTGTGTGTGTGTGTGTGTGTGTGTGTGTGTGTGTGTGTGTGTGTGTGTGTGTGTGTGTGTGAGTATATATGTATATATATATATATATATATATATATATATATATATATATATATATACATATATATATATATATATATATATATATATATATATATAGAGAGAGAGAGAGAGAGAGAGAGAGAGAGAGAGAGAGAGAGAGAGAGAGAGAGAGAGAAGAGAGAGAGAGAGAGAGAGAGAGAGAGAGAGAGAGAAGGAAGGAGGGAGGGAGGAATTGAGGCAGGGAGGGAGACAGACAGACAGAAAAGATAACTTTTAGGTTTTATTAAATCTAACTCAGCCTTTTTTATTTGGTCACATTCCGCAACGAGTAAAGGAGCATTATGATCTTTTATCATTACATATCATATAAGTGTTGAGCCTTGTGAATACACATTTTTCCCCAAGAGGCGCAGCTTTTGAGTGGGTAAACTATAGTAATTATCACATCAAACTCACGATGCGTGTGTGCAGATGGATGAATAAATGAAACTGTAATGTTGGAGGAAGTGCCAGACGTTGTAAAGGTATTTATATAGGTAATGGTGATAGCCTTGTCTCGTTGGTACCACCGCCAAGGGTCGTTAAGGGCAGTAGTTGTTACAGTGATATTACATTTGACCACAATTACAGTGGACCAATGACAAGGGATACCACAACAAGAGTTCTATTGCGTGGGCTAAAGGACAGTTTTAATTCCATTCATACAAGGAGAGAGAAAAAAAATATATATATATATACTATTCGTTATCAGCAGTATAGTTGCTGTTTATTGCTCATGAAATGGATAGAAGCCGCGCACACCTTTATAACTACAGAAAGGAAAAAAATATAAAAGGCATTTTTCCTCCTTGAGATTCTTACTCAGTCATCACGAGTGAGTGTAAGCGCTGACGAAAAGAGGTTCCTCCAGCATTCCTGTGCTGACTGGCCCCCGGTACAATGGCTACATTGTCACCATTAAGTTTTTTATTCTCGCACAGTGTGTCGCGGCTTTTGCATTTGCCTCCAGCGGTCACGCCGCCTGTCGGGGATGTCTTGCGGTCGCCCTCAGCACGTGCAGCGGCTGCCTCTCCAGTTCGCTGCTGGATTCACACATTCTTGTTTGAGTCGGGCGCTGCTTCTCTTGGGCCTTCGGTGGATGGTATGGGTAGGACTTACTTGAAATTGATTCACTTAAACTCTACATATTCGAATTATATATATATATATATATATATATATATATATATATATATATATATATATATATTGTCTTTCTTTTTTCTTTTTTTTCCAAGGACGTTAAACTAGTTGCATATTCTTGTCACCAGCAAGCCATTCCGGTGCGTCGGCAGATCGAAATTTACCTTAGCTTTATAAAGTATTGAAAAAATTATCCCTATTCTTGCAGATAGGGTGGCAAAACTAAATAAATTCTATAAATCACGAAGCCAAGATGGCTAGCAATGCGTGAGAACTATAACCTGACCGAACTTCGCCAAGGGAAAACAGACTTTAAGACGTGTAGACTGCGCTGTGACATCCGCTCTGCACGACACAGACACCTTCATCACACTCGGAGGAAATGACAATTGCCGATCGGTCTCCGCTCTTGACACAACGAACACCGGCCTACAGCGAATTGCAGTTCCAGCTTCAGGTCCAGCTGGCTATAGCACCCCGGCTTGCCATACGGTTCGTCGAATTTCTGCTGGAGTTCAGGGCGCCAGAAGGGATGTGGAAATGCATTGCACGAGCTGCTTGTGGAAGCCTGTAAAATTTTCGAGGAAGGGGGATTCTCTCTCTCTCTCTCTCTCTCTCTCTCTCTCTCTCTCTCTCTCTCTCTCTCTCTCTCTCTCTCTCTCTCCCTCTCTCTCTCTGTATATGTGTGTGTGTGTGCGTGTATGTATGTATGTGTTTATGTATTTATATACACGTATGTATATAAATATATATATATATATATATATATATATATATATATATATATATATATATATATAATTTACATATATGCAATATGACCATATACATATATGCAATAAGACGATGTCGAGGAAAATTTCCATTTCTATTTCTAAGGTTCCTAAGAGCAGAATACCTGCAAAAGTTTATACTTGTCCAGAATTACCATCTAGAAGCGCTTTCGCATCTAAACACCTCCCCCTAAAAAAGCGAGCGAGAGCCAGGGGCAGAGAGAGAGAAGAGAAGAGAATAGTAAAGAAATAAAGAAACAGAAAAAAAGAGATTATTCCCGCTCCGCTTTCAACGAGATCGCTGTGGGTGGTTGCGGTTCCTGCAAACTTTCATACATTGTGGTCACATAAGAGTCATCAACAATACAGCCTCTAATACAACAATGGCCATTGATTATTTCGAAATGTATATAATCTACTGTGAGTGAGCGGATTCTCGCCTCTTCAATTTAGCAGCAAGTTTTGTCACGCTTATTGTTTTCTATTAAGGCATTGCTGATGAAAGATAAAAAAATAAAAATCTTTGATACAAGCCGAAACAGAACCAATAATCGAAACCTCATTCGAGACATCATCTGATCTTATCTCCCTTGCGAGTGACAATTGATAGTTATAATGGCGCTGCGTTTTCGTTCCGCGGACCGCCACCAGATGTCTCCACAGCTCCGCCCACCTAAGCAACTATTTTGATTGCAATTTGAGCTCGGTGGGCGAGGGCGGAGCTAATGGTATTATAATTGGCAGTTATCGGGCCCAAGCATCAATGATAAGGATAATTTAGAACGTTGATTGTTATGTATGTAAGGCATTTCGAACTAAGCAATCTGAAGGGAAGCTGATGACCAAATCTACGACGCACATCCCAAGGACAATCAGTATACACACAATCCAACAGAATTATGACAACAATAATCACGAAAATAATCATGCACTAGACACCGATCTAAAAATAAATAGATAAATAAAGACATTGATAATAGAGAACCACAAACGTCATCATATCACAAGCACTTTCAAATAACACGATCGCCCTGAAAAGGAATTAAAGCACAGGGTAACAGTTTAACGTGGAGTGTCAGCCCTGTCGAGAGAATGACAATCAGGGACCATTTTTATCAACGTGGGTGGTATCTTGATGACGGCGAGTTTGGTGTGGTTGTGAGAGAAGTTGATTAATTAATGTTTTTTTTTTTTTTTTTCTTTTTAAAACCGAAATCCTACGTGATACTCCTCCTTGGACCATGCCTGATACTCCTCCATAGGTCGTGCCTGATACCGAAATCCTACGTGATACTCCTCCTTGGACCATGCCTGATACTCCTCCTTGGACCATGCCTGATACTCCTCCTTGGACCATGCCTGATACTCCTCCATAGGGCGTGCCTGATACCGAAATCCTACGTGATACTCCTCCTTGAACCATGCCTGATACTCCTCCTTCGGCCATACCTGATACTCCTCCCTGGACCATGCCTGATACTCCTCCATAGGTCGTGCCTGATACCGAAATCCTACGTGATACTCCTCCTTGGACCATGCCTGATACTTCTCCTTGGACCATGCCTGATACTCCTCCATAGGTCGTGCCTGATACCGAAATCCTACGTGATACTCCTCCTTGGACCATGCCTGATACTCCTCCATAGGTCGTGCCTGATACCGAAATCCTACGTGATACTCCTCCTTGGACCATGCCTGATACTCCTCCATAGGTCGTGCCTGATACCGAAATCCTACGTGATACTCCTCCTTGGACCATGCCTGATACTCCTCCATAGGTCGTGCCTGATACCGAAATCCTACGTGATACTCCTCCTTGGACCATGCCTGATACTCCTCCATAGGTCGTGCCTGATACCGAAATCCTACGTGATACTCCTCCTTGGACCATGCCTGATACTCCTCCATAGGTCGTGCCTGATACCGAAATCCTACGTGATACTCCTCCTTGGACCATGCCTGATACTCCTCCATAGGTCGTGCCTGATACCGAAATCCTACGTGATACTCCTCCTTGGACCATGCCTGATACTCCTCCATAGGGCGTGCCTGATACCGAAATCCTACGTGATACTCCTCCTTGGACCATGCCTGATACTCCTCCATAGGTCGTGCCTGATACCGAAATCCTACGTGATACTCCTCCTTGGACCATGCCTGATACTCCTCCATAGGTCGTGCCTGATACCGAAATCCTACGTGATACTCCTCCTTGGACCATGCCTGATACTCCTCCATAGGTCGTGCCTGATACCGAAATCCTACGTGATACTCCTCCTTGGACCATGCCTGATACTCCTCCATAGGTCGTGCCTGATACCGAAATCCTACGTGATACTCCTCCTTGGACCATGCCTGATACTCCTCCATAGGTCGTGCCTGATACCGAAATCCTACGTGATACTCCTCCTTGGACCATGCCTGATACTCCTCCATAGGTCGTGCCTGATACCGAAATCCTACGTGATACTCCTCCTTGGACCATGCCTGATACTCCTCCATAGGTCGTGCCTGATACCGAAATCCTACGTGATACTCCTCCTTGGACCATGCCTGATACTCCTCCATAGGTCGTGCCTGATACCGAAATCCTGCCTAATATTCCTCCTTCGGCCATACCTGATACTCCTCCCTGGGCCATGTTTAATACCGAAATCCTGCCTAATATTCCTCCCTGGACCAGTCCTGATACCGAAATCCTGTCTGATACTCCCTTTCCGGCGACTGGACGCGCGCACCCTCAGCCACGTCGGTTCTCCCTCCTTTTGTTTATTTTGAAAGGGGCAGAGCGGCGCCAGGGGGTTGGTAGGAGGCCCTTTGTAAGTCCTTCTCCTGATGTCATAATTAGACGCTGCACACGAGCCCTCCCCGCCACGTAATATGGCCGTGATGTGCAGGAGGCCAGGTTCTCGACGGACGGGAGGCGCGGGTGATGATTGTGTTGTTGGTGATCTTGATATCATATATATATTTTTTTCTCTCTCTCTGTCTGTCTCTTTCTCTTTCTCTGTCTCTCTCTCTCTCTCTCTCTCTCTCTCTCTCTCTCTCTCTCTCTCTCTCTCTCTCTCTCTCTCTCTCTTCTTCTTCTTCTTCTTCTTCTTCTTCTTTTTTTCTGTTCTTAATATCATTTAGTTTCTTCTTTCTTTTTATTTGAGAACATTTAGCTTCTTGGTATATCACTTGTTTTCGTTGTTGTTTGGATATTAAGGTTGAAATCTTTTAAAAATAGCTTCTACCAAAATGAACTGGTTTCTGAGTTTATAAATTCTCTAGATTTACAAACAATTCGATTTTCGTATTTTTCTTCCCTTTAAAAAAAAAGAAAAAAATATCGTAAAATATCTTAATCATAACAACCATACAGCAACCACACAAATGACTTAAAACGTAAACTAAAAAAAAGTCCCCCCCAAAAAAATCAATCAATCAAGAAATAAATAAATAAATAAATAGATAAATAAATATACGAATAAAGTTCGATCGCAGCCATCTGGAGAGAAGCAAGCCACCTGT